ACCACCCATCTTCTCGGCCTTGAGTCTCTCACGCCTAAACCAAGTCCTTCCCACGATCACCTTCCTTTTCTGAAAGCCAAAGCGATATAAGTATCCGTTTACTTATTATATATGCAAGTCCATGCAATGCTCTCTAAGACTTTTAACCACTCGGAACGAATAACAGATCGGGGAGTGGAAGTATGCACATCAGTTCGGCCGATTTACGGCATATCTTAACAGATCTGCCGATCCTCCGTCGAGACGCATCCCCATTTCTACCAATCCGCCACCCGAACCAAGCTTATGTAGAATATGAATGATCTCCCGATACTACAATGTCACCCTAATCATTCCGGACTTTCTTCTAATTCATCGGAACAATTCCTAGGCTAAATTATATGTATCATATCTCCTTAGGTTTAGATATAAAGTCTAGAACAGTACTCACCTTCGATCACACCGATTGTACCCTTTCTTTAAGTGTTTTCTCTCGAGATGTTCTCCGAGAGTTTCAGTATTTTTCTCTGTGTTTTTCTGTGTCCTAATTCGCCCCAAATGCCTTGTATTTAAAGAGTTCTCGATCAGAAACCGTTTTTCTTACCGTTTCTCAAAAAGGCACCCATTCGGTACATAACCGCTCGTTAGTAACTGTTGGGGTCGGATTCCACACATCTTCGGTAGGATCCACTTGGATATGTCCACGTCATTATTACATAATAATCCTCTTGGATTTCTAGATGTTTCATTGCGAGAATCGAGCTCGACCTGTCGGAAGTTTGATTCAATTTACTAAAGAGCTCGATCTTTACCAGTACGGAGTTCGCTCTTATTCAATATATAGTTCGCATAAAAGAATGCCGAAGCAAGGAGAATATTGCTCGAGGTTCGCGGCAGCGTCAAGACGCAAGAGTTCGGAGTCAACAAGAAAGGGTTCGGAAGATCCACGCGAAGCCCAAGATAGTTCAAATTCAAGCCGTTTCGGTCAAATTGTAACCTACATGATTAATGCGGATCAATGCAATTATGAGCAGTAAATGACCGCATTGATCATGTTTTCTCTATAAAAACAACCTCAAACGCGTGTGTTTGAGAGAGAACAACTCTTTTTCCTCTTACGATCAAGCAATTCAACATACTTTTTCTTTTACAATTTTGCAAGGCTTTTTACTATTTTATTCTTTCCAAGTTCTTTCGCTTTATTTAGTTTCTTGGTTACTTCCCTTTTCAATTTCATATTCTCATTTGTTGATTTTAGAGTTTTTCTCCACAAATATACTTAAAGACAATCGAGTGTGAATCCTACATCCACAGTAACCATTTCCCGTAACCACCCAACCGTTCTCCGTAACTATCCAACCGTTCTTCATAACCGCCCAACCGTTCTCCATAACCGCCCAACCGTCCAACCGTCGGACAGTTACCCGAGCTTAGCTGAGCTACCCGGCAGCTGGTCGAGCTAGCTGAGCTACTCGACAGTTACCCGAGTTTAGCTGAGCTACTCGGCAATACATTGAGCTTAGTTGAGCTACTCGGCAGCTGGTTTGGCTACTTAGCGTGCATGATTCCCCTTCTCCGAGCTGATGGGCAGCTCCCACCTAGACTTGTCCGAGTTTCTCCTCTTTTTCTCATACCATGTCTCATCCGACGATCTTATTGAAGATCGTGGGCGTTACACATTTCCCCGATTCAAAGATGCATTGCACTTACCATCTGCTTTGCAAGATCGATAATCATTGGATGGGATGATTGGCTTGGGTGGTGATGGGGCAACGACTGGTCTAGACTATAAGGAGCTGTGGAAAGAGGAATACTCCAGCTAATCTAAAACTTTTGAACAGATCCTTGAGGTTCATACTAGGGACTTGTTTAGTAATTTGACCTTCACTATGAAACTCTGAGTTGAAGGAGCAAGAATCAACTTCATGGAAAATACGATGACATTCAGAACATCAAGAGTAGAGTTTCTCATACGTTAGAGAGACCGACCCAGTTTAACCAGTTGGGATTTGTGCATTCTTCCAAAATCGTAAGTGGATCCAAAACATATGGTATTAGGAAACACATCTCTGACATGTGGTTCATATCTCTCCAAATCAAAGGACTAATGGTTGAAATGGTATGGTCTTTTGTTGAGAATCTTATCGAGATCTCTCTGTAAGTCAAAATTAAGAGTAGAAAGATATGATAAGATCTTCACTATTCAAAAAAGCCCAAAAATAAGGTTTTTCTGGAAAGCAAGGAAAAATAAGCTCCGGTTAAATCACCAAGAATGTAAGGACGTAGTCGGACGGCCATAAAGTTTAATGGAAATTGCTATTTTGAGAGAAAGATGGAAGAAAGTTGCCAATTTTAGAATTTAAGAGTATTTGAGATCTACTTTTTTGAACCAAAGTGGCTTCTTTTAGATATTCTAGAGAAGTTCTACCTTTTTAATGAGATTTTATCTTAAGTTTTTTCACAACTGTTCACCTATATCATTTCTACAAACCGTTTCGACCGTAGTTATTGAGTGTTCATAGATTGATGAATTTATTCACCTAATAAAATTGAACAAACATGAATTTTTTTTTTTTTATAAACCCTATCGGCTGATCCGGTCAGCCTTTGTAGAAACATACCGAAGTGCTTCATAGTGGACTATTCCCCGAAGGGCCACCACACTGTCTGCCCCGAGTTTGGAATGCTTTCCGACTAATACCAGGGGTAGCCAGATCGCCTGTTACTGGACTACCAGGAAAACTTGATCTGTGTCAGGTTTTAAAATCCTAAAGAACGCAACGAATAAGCTGCAAGTGCACAGCAAATCAGTCGTAGTACTTAAGGTATCGAATCCACAAAGAGAGAAGTAGTTCAGACAAGTTTATTAGAACGAGTAGAGGTAAGACAAAACAATAAAGAGGGGTTGTTGGTTGGTGTCACAGTTTCCAAGTAATAGTAAATAAGAAAACAAGTAAATAAACGCAAGAAAACTATGAGAGACAAACGTTGGGCATCAAGGGTATCGCAGGGGGTTCAATGATCGCTATCTAAGAAATACTAGAATTAGATTTGTTTACTTCCAAGTCTCGGACATACGAAACACTAAGATTCGGCTTATACTAGGTTATAGGATAAGTCAGCTAAAATTCTTATACTCCGTTACTCAACTTACGCAGGCAACGACGCATATATCAAAGCAATAAGATCAAGTTCGATTCTAGTCCATAAATCCCTATAACTAAGTGGTGTGTGCTTGTTATAACACGATACACATTCGTAAGCTAGGTCTAGTGAATTAAGTAACCTTATGAGCAACCTAAACGCTTGGGATCACGAGTTAGGACATGAATCATATTCAGTGTAAACGATCAAACAAATCATACATGCATTAAGAAACAACTTACTTAGAAATAATACAGTGTAAACGATCAAACAAAACCCTAAGTATCGCCACTTAAACGATCGATCATATTTCCCCTTTGATTAACCCTTTAAACCCAACTAGGAAACTACTCTAGCATGGTTAAAGAGATCATCAAAGTAAGGTTTGTTAAACTCATAAGAAAGAGAAGAATAAGAACTAAAAAGGGTTTAGAGATTACTTCAATGATTGTACAATACAAGAGGTAAGACTTCACCATAATAGATCTTAAAGTAGACAAGAGAAAAGAGAGAGAGATTCGCTGGAACTTCAAAGCTTCAAGGTCGACGGCTGCAGCTCTTCGACGAGGGCAGAGGCGAGCTTGATGGAGATTTGAGAGGCACGATTGAGGCACTTCGAAGACTCTTCTAGGTTTAGGGCTTCCAACATGTTATATAGGGTTTGGAGACCAAGGATTAGGTTTAGGGGTAAAAGTGTCTTTTCCCGTGATTAAGTTAAGTGCAAACTCGAGTTTTTTGCAAAGGAGAAGTCTTAGTGGTCGGTGTGGAGAGTGAGAGGCAACCCGGGGACTGCCAATGTGACCGGTGTGGCCTAGAAGCTCTGGATCAGTTGCATAGCTTCCGGCCGGTCTGGACATGTCTTCACTCTTCTGGTCAAAACTTCCGAACGGCTCAATGAAAAGCTCTGAATCCACATGAGGCAAATTCTGACTCTTCTAGCTTTCCATAGCCACCGATATCTCTTGATTTAGTAACCGAGAAGACCTCAAACGGATGCCATACTTTTGACGTACATAAACTGTCTTGAAACAGGTTTTGATCGCCTTTTGGTCTTTAAAGCTCAAAAATTCTTAAAACCTTCTTGGCTCCATAAATACTTGAATAACTCCTTCTTAGCTCTGAAATCACTCCAAATGCTCCATATATAAAACATAAGAAAACAATAACAAATATGGGCGAAAATCTCATGTTATCAAAACTGCTTGGGCCTTTTGGCTCAAACCCAGACTTCTCACACAAATGTGTTTTTTGTTTTCTGCGAGGATCGAACCTGGGTTACTTCCTTCCAACCTTTCTCCAATTTTTAACTACCACTGGAGCTGTGTAGGCAACATATGAAAAATCATTCTATTTTTGTTAGTTTTTTTTTTTTTTTTTTTTTTTTTTTTTTTTTTTTGACATCTTTGGATCGACAAGGTCCGATCCATAGCCAATCCCTACTACGCGGGCCCGATTCTATTTTTGTTAGTTAAATAGTTAAAAATATAGTTACATGATTTTCTCCCAAAGCATTCATCTTACAAATTATACGCGAAGAGTTTTATCGTGTCCCCAACTTGTCAAAAAATCGATTTCCAATCCCAAACTCAAACCGGATCCGATCTATCTAACTCCAAAAATTTGCTCCAGCCTAGATCATTCACGTTCCTTAAACAACAAATCACACAAAACTATATATATATATATCGGCTTGACTCACAGTAAATAAAACAGTGTAGTTCCAATAATGTTTCCAAATTGCAATATATTGCTCATAATTAAAACATGTCTCTATAAAAAAAAAAAAAATCTCCCATAAAAAGAATCAGCCGTTAGATACGTACATGTGAACACATGTCTCACGCCGCTATAAATATTTCAGACCTCTCCCTTACACTTACCCACCCAAGTTTACAGGCTCCGACTAAAATAAATTCGGATCTAACCCGACCCGGTAAAACCAATCCCAAATTTTACTCCGTCGTGAACGCATCAAAAGCCAGAAATTTTCTTCCTCCAATCTCGCACTCTTCGCTTCCATACTCCCCAAATCGATTCGTTTGATTTTTCCAAAATCAGAAGATGAAGCTAACGGACGATAACGAAGAGGTTACGATGAACGGAACTCGAGAAGTGGAGACGGCGGAGGAGGATATATCGTCGCCGTGTTCGCTAGTGATCGAAGCGTTTCCGGTGAAGAGATCGATTATTGTAGGTTATGCTCTTACATCGAAAAAGATAAAGAGCTTTTTGCAACCAAAACTCGAAGGTTTAGCTAGGTTTGTGATTCTGATTTTGATAACCCTAATTTTTCTTTGGTGCTTTCATGCATATTGTTAATAAGAGTTTTGATGATGGCTTCGTGTTCCGAATTCTCAATTTTTAAATTAGTTTTCATAAGAATATTCTCTTCACTATTTAATTGTTTTATCGTTTGATTTTTCCTTTGGAATCTTTGACCTTTATTCTTTGTTAAAATGGTTTATATGTTGTTTCTGTGCAATTTTCCTCTGAGTTTACATGTTCTTCAATGTCGCTTTCACGTTGTTCGGCTAAAATGGATTTATGTAAAAGTATGTGTATGTAGTAGCTTCATTGATCTCTGAATTTAGTAATTTATTGTGGAAGACTAAGTCATGTAGCCTAGTGGTTTGTGCTAGTGTTGTATAAACACCGGGTCAAATCCACATAATGCATGTTGTTGACGAAAAATTAAATAATAAAATGTTTAGTTACTGTGTCTCTTTAGTCGCTACTGTTTTGAGAAGTTTGTTTGTTTTTGTGCAGGAATAAGGGGATATTATTTGTGGCAATAGATCAGAATAGGCCACTTTCAGAGCAGGGTCCGTTTGATATTGTGTTGCATAAGGTTAGTTTTTTCGATCTTTGTTGACCCTGTTGGTTTTCTGATACCTCGTCTTATTTTTGCCTATGCTTGCTATTTGGCCTTTGTCAGAAGATATGTCTTGGGAACATCCCCTGCTCAGGTTGTTAGAAACTAACCTTGTCCGCATCCTCTTGCTCAGCTTCTTTTCATCCACGCCTGATTATCCTCATTTGGTGTTTGTTTTACATGTACTGCAGCAAATTGGAAAAGAATGGCGTCGAATTCTTGAGGTTAGTTAACTTAATATTCTTTCCCCTATTTTGTTTGCGGGGACACATTCTAGCCCGACTTGTTAGATATAAGACCTTGTAAGTTTCCTTTCCGTTGTGATGAGTTGCATGTGTATTCTACCTATGTTATAATCTTTTCCTAGATGAGAGATGGTGCTACATTGCCAAAGCTATCAACTAGTTTTCTTTTATTGTCCAAATCTGGTTTCTCAATGGAAAATTTTCCAGAACTCATCCTCTTTCCTGTCATGAATCATGACTCGATACATGAACCTAATAATAGCTGAATGCACAATCATATATCTTTAAGTAGAAACAATACTCTCTTTTCTGCTTATATAAGAGCCATCATCTGCGTATCTAAGATATTTCAGCTCGTTTTGTGGGTCGCCCACATCTATTTTTCATGTTTTCAAACGATGCTAACCTTAGGATTTGCTGAAGTAGCTTTTGGCTATATCTCTCATAGTTGCTAGAATAATAGAGATGAAAGTATACTGTTTAGTTTTAAAATATCATCACCGTCCCTCTGTGTTTACATCATGGAGCTATTTAAATCTCAGGAGATTCGACTATGTTTCATTAGGAAGATGCCAATTTCTGAGGCTAGTTGAATACTAGATTTATACTCTTCTGATGATATGCACTGATAATATAGAATAGTGTACAATGAAGTTTTAGTTTTAGTTAACTATCATCAGTAGATTAGTTAATCCTTAATCTTAGTTGCAGGATAGTGAAGAGTTCAACTTGGGATATACATTTTCTAGACTGACACTGTCGTTGTGTTAAAAAAATCTGTAGTAAACCTTTATCTCAGGAGATCTCAGCAATACAGCAATAGAAGTTTTCTGTTTATGTGATCATCAGCAGGGATGCACTTTTGGGTATTGAAAATTAGACTAGGTGTGAGCCTAATGATTTCTAATTATTACAGGAATTTAGGCTAGCACATCCAGATGTCACAGTTCTCGATCCTCCAGATGCAATACTACATCTCCGTAATCGTCAGTCAATGCTTCAGTGTGTTGCGGACATGAATCTGTCTGATAGTTATGGTAAATATTTCTGTGTAATCACCTGCTATTTGCTATTAGGGATATCAGAGTGTCAATATATCTGACTTGTAGAAACTGCTCTGGCTGTGCAGGACGAGTGGGTGTGCCCAAGCAATTGGTAATTAAAAGGGATGCATCCTCAATCCCGGAGGCTGTCAATAAAGCTGGGCTGAGACTACCTCTTGGTATGATTCCTGATCTCCTATTAATGACTTTTGGTTTAGCTTCATGCGGCATCTTGCTGTCTTTTACCAAAATCAATCATGGGCTGTGTTTACTTAACTGAAGTTTTAGTTGTGTATTTTCAATGACTTCGTGGGTAAATTAATTTTATTTGGTGTTTATCAAAACCTCAGTTGCAAAGCCATTGGTTGCTGATGGAAGTGCAAAGTCACATGAACTTTCTCTGGCTTATGACCAGCACGCCGTTCTGAAGCTCGAGCCTCCTCTTGTTCTTCAGGAGTTTGTTAACCATGGTATGAGATTTTAGAGGCTATCATTGCGTATATTAGAACTTAGATCATTTGATAATCTAAGAAAATGCTGGGGTTTCTTAGGTGGTGTTCTTTTCAAAGTTTATATTGTTGGGGAAGCAATTAGAGTGGTCCGGCGTTTCTCCCTGCCTGATGTCTCTAGGCGAGAACTCTCCGAAGCAGCTGGTGTATTCAGATTCCCCCGGGTCTCTTGTGCTGCAGCTTCAGCTGATGATGCAGATTTGGACCCGAACATTGCTGGTAAGATCTTTTTCATCGCCACTGACATTGTCTACAATTTTCCTCGTTGCAGTAAACAATGTTCTTATTCTCGTTGCAGAGCTTCCACCACGTCCTCTGTTGGAGAGACTTGCAAAGGAACTCCGTCGTGGATTGGTATGTTTGTTTGAGTCCTCTCTACTATATCCAAGCAGGAGTATTTTATCAAAGTCTACTGATTTCTAATATGTTTCAGGGTCTACGGCTGTTTAATTTAGACATAATTAGAGAGCACGGGACAAGAGATCGGTTTTATGTAATTGACATCAACTATTTCCCAGGCAAGTTTGATTTCCACACCTTTTTACAGTAGTGGATCACATAAACATGTGATCTAAGAATAAAAAAATGTGCAGGGTACGGAAAGATGCCAGAGTATGAGCATGTATTCACTGATTTCTTACTGAGTGTGATACAAAGCCAATGCAAGAAACGAGCCTTGGCCGATCAATACTAACTCACGGAGATACCATTGTTCCTCACTAAAGAAAAAAACCAAAAATGAAGATTAGTCTATGCAGTTTTTTTCTGTACAGGACAAAGCACCGATTTCCCTCGATGTTGTTCTTTAGCTTCATTGTGCTGTACAAAGAACAATGGAAGATTGCATTAAACGAAAATCCTTGGACCTTTGGAGATTTAAGGATAGAGAATTGTCTGAATCTCATGACAATGTCTCCATATCAAAAAGTGAATAGACCGTTATGTCCCCCAACTTCTCTCACTCAAATGGGCAATGGCCTTTGAAGAGTTCCTCTTTTCACTATGTGACTGCTCCTATCTTTTGATTTGGTTGGCTTTGTACTATTTTGACCTTTAAATATCCTTTCTTTTGGTTTTAATCTGCTTCTATCTTTTGATCATTCTTATTGTGAGAATTCTTAAAAATTTTGACATCACAAATTGTTGATTATTGAATTTATTGTATACAATAATTTTTAAACCTTATGTAGTACAAATTTTGGTTAGATTAGTGTGAAACGTCTGAGGATAAAACCCTTTTGAAACCTTAAAAATTAGGTTTACTTGCATTGTAAGGTTTAATAAACACACAAGTAAGAAAACGAAACCTGAGCTTCAGCTTTGAATTTTTTGTTTCTTCACATGCTTGTCTATGACAACAATTGAAGTCTTTTATTTCAATTCAAGCAAACTACACTTTCCAGGGTTTAAGACAAAGCAATTGTAATTTTCTCTCTTTTTCTTCTCCAAATCAGAAAATCAATAATGTTTTTCTGTTTTTAGTATTGTCTCTAGCTCTTTCTTGTCTTGGAGTTCACTTGAAAACTCTCTATCTTCTGTCTTTGACATAGAAGCATATATAGCACAGAGCTGGTTCCTCAACCCAACCAACTACTTACCTCTCCAGTTCCTAAACCTAAACCTTGTCAACAATTATCTTTGTTTTATTGCTCTTAATCTTCTTCGCTTAGAACTTGCTATGGAGAAAAATACAAACATGAACCATACAAGTGATGATGACAATGATAAGGTTGTCGATATTTAACTTCTTCTTAATCATAGTATGCTAATGTTTCTCTAACTAGAGTGTTTTTTGTATTTACGTTTAGCAGCATCACACTAACGAAGAACAGGAGAAGATAATCCTAAACCCTAATTTTGAGGATGGCCTGAACAACTGGACTGGAAGAGCGTGCAAGATTGTCTTACACGAGTCCATGGACGGAGGGAAAATCGTACCACTCTCGGGAAAAGTTTTCGCAGCGGCAACACAGCGTAAAGACACATGGAATGGGATTCAACAGGAGATTTCAGGAAGATTTCAGAGGAAGCGTGTGTATGAAGTAACAGCAATGGTTCGAATATTTGGCAACAATGTTACGAATGCAACAGTACAGGCGACTCTATGGGTCTTAAACGCAAACCAACGTGAACAATACATAGTCATTGCCAAGTGGGTTTCGCCTTTTTCATCTTCTCCATTACTAAAATCATCAACATCTTGATATAAATTCATTAAACTGATAGAGTTTCGTATATCGATGAATCATATTAGTGTGCAAGCGACTGATAAGAACTGGGTGGAGTTGAAGGGTAAATTTGTAATCCAGGGTTCGCCATCGAGGGTGATACTATACCTTGAAGGTCCACCTTCAGGATCTGACATTCTTCTCAACAGTTTAGTTGTTAAACATGCTAAAAGGAATCGTCCATCGCCTCCTCCTTTCTATGAGGTCAGTCCCTTTACCATAAAATTAAATAACACTAGGCTGATGGTTATCAATCATGATCAGAGATAGCTTCTTGCTAGACATTACATAGTTCACAAAGAGCTGCATGCATGTTCCGATTATTAGCCTGAGAAAACGGTCTTTTGGGGATACTAATCTGTTTTTGTTTGGCAGAATCCCGGATTCGGAGTCAATATAATCGAAAACAGTGAAGTGGTAAACGGGGCAACCCAACCATGGTTCACCCTAGGAAACTGCAAGTTGAGTGTTGGACAAGGCGCCCCTCGCACTCTGCCCCCAATGGCGAGAGACACGCTCGGTCCTCGCAAACCTCTTGGCGGAAGCTACATCCTCGTGACTAACAGAACGCAGACTTGGATGGGTCCGGCTCAGATGATAACCGATAAAATCAAACTCTTCTTGACATATCAAGTTTCAGCGTGGGTCAAAATTGGTGTGGGAGTGAGTGGTAGTAGTATGAGTCCTCAAAATGTGAACATTGCACTTAGCGTCGATAACCAATGGGTCAATGGAGGACAAGTCGAGGCCACCGTTGGTGATACATGGCATGAAATCGGCGGATCCTTTAGGCTCGAGAAGCAGCCACAAAACGTTATGGTTTACGTTCAAGGTCCTGCAGCTGGCATTGATTTGATGATCGCGGGACTGCAGATTTTTCCCGTGGATCGTCGAGACCGTGTCAGATGTCTCAAAAGACAAGTTGATCAGGTTCACATTCTCTTCAAATCTCCTTAGATATGCACTTTAATAAGTTAATGACTTCAAAAATGTTGTTTCTTGGTAGGTACGTAAGCGCGACATTGTCTTGAAATTCTCCGGACTAGACGAGGACTCCTCCGATTTGTTTCCTTACATAGTGAAGGTTAAACAAACATACAACAGTTTCCCTGTAGGAACATGCATTAACAGAACAGACATAGACAATGAAGACTTTGTAGATTTCTTCACAAAGAACTTCAATTGGGCAGTGTTCGGAAACGAGCTTAAATGGTACTCAACAGAAGCCGAACGAGGAAAGGTAAATTACCAAGACGCAGACGACATGTTAGATCTCTGCATTGGTAACAACATAAACGTTAGAGGACATTGCATCTTCTGGGAAGTTGAATCCACTGTTCAGCCATGGGTTCGGCAGCTTAACAAAACCGATCTTATGAACGCGGTCCAAAGGCGTCTCACGGATCTTCTGACGCGTTACAAAGGTAAATTTAAGCACTACGATGTCAACAACGAGATGCTTCATGGTTCTTTCTATCAAGACAAACTTGGAAAAGGTGTAAGAGCACTTATGTTCAACATTGCACACAAGCTTGATCCATCTCCTCTGCTTTTCGTAAACGATTATCATGTTGAAGACGGGGATGACACACGTTCGTCCCCCGAGAAGTATATAAAACTTGTTCTTGATTTGGAAGCGCAAGGAGCAATAGTAGGAGGGATTGGGATCCAAGGACATATAGATAGCCCTGTTGGAGCTATTGTTTGCTCTGCTCTTGATAAGCTCTCTGTTCTTGGTCGTCCCATTTGGTTCACAGAGCTTGATGTCTCTTCGAGTAATGAATATGTCAGAGGAGAAGATCTTGAAGTTATGTTGTGGGAAGCATTTGCCCACCCTGCAGTTGAAGGTACCATTTACTTCACTTTACCCAACTTTTAATACTAGTATTTCTATCAAATTTGTTAAGATTTTAACCAAAGTAAATTTTAAAAGTTTGGACAAAATAGCTGCAAAAGTAATTAGTAAAATATTAAATTGGTTGATTTGCTTGATAAAACAGGGAGACAAATTTATAAAACCAAATGTGGTGGCAAAACCGTATATAAAAAATGTATTTTGGTTGTTATTTAAACAATTAGCGAATAAAATATCAAAATAGGTGTTAATAAAACACACAATAAATTGAATAAAATGAACCAACTTATTCATGATTTTGCCATATGTCTTTTTGCAAATAAGGGCTAGAAATTTGACTATCTAGTACTCTATATAAAATTACTTATATTCATTTTTTATATTTTAAAAATGAAATCACTGAAAAATTGAATAATCATCATTTTAGTGGATAAAATGATATAAATTTTATGTTTCATTACCTTTGTCTTTTTTTTTTTATAATTATCAACAAAAATATATGTGAATCGTATAGTTAGTTGTATACTTAAACGTTGGGATAAATATTTGATGTTTACAGGAATAATGCTATGGGGTTTCTGGGAACTATCTATGAGTAGAGAGAACGCGAATTTGGTGGAGGGAGAAGGAGAAGTAAACGAAGCCGGGAAAAGATTTCTCGAGGTGAAACAAGAATGGTTATCTCATGCATATGGGATCATTGATGATGAATCAGAGTTCACATTCAAAGGCTATCATGGGACTTACGCCGTTGAAGTTTGTACTCCGGCTGGGATTGTTCTCAAAACGTTCGTTGTCGAAAAAGGAGACACTCCACTTATTATATCCATTGATCTCTCTTGTTTGTGATGTTTTTGTTTCTGTGATTTCTCTTATATATGGGTATTTGTTCTTCGTGAAGTACATAACATATGTACACAAAATTATGTTATGTCTTTTTTTTTTAATTGTTTTGTACAATCGCAATAAAAACTTGTGAATATGATTGTTAAGACAATATTGCTTGGATTTCAGCTCACCCTTGTAATAAGTGTTAGAGTTATTATAACTCCTGACCAGACTTCATTACTCATTTATCTCCTCTTGACTTGTTTCTTAGACTTCATCATTTGTCTCTTAGACTTTCTCACTTTATCTATTCGTTTCCTTCACATGTATTGTGTATATATACCTATGTACTTTCTCTTTTTAATCATCAATAAAAACAAGAGATTCATCTTCTACATGATATCAAAGTAATTATGATCCTTTTCTCTCATTTTTCTTTCTTTTGTTATATTTTTTCGTTCTCATGGCCATTGAACCTTCTGCCGCTGCTGCCGACTCGGCTCTTGTTTTCAATCCATCTGATCCTAAAAGCTCATTGATCTTTCTCAACATGTCTGGGATCACTAAGCCCACAACCACCAACTTTCTCACATGGCGTCTTTATGGGTTTATCTCCAATGAAGATCTCACGCCTCTGCAACAGATCAACAATGCCGCAGGTGTCACCGAAACAAATCCCGCATTTACAATCTGGAAGCGACAAGATCTTATTCTCTATAGCTTTATGATAGGCACTCTCACTCTTATCATCCAGCCAATGGTTGCTCGTGCTCTCACCACTCCTGAAATCTAGCTCACCTTGTCCAACATAAATGGAAAACCTTCTCGTGGACACGACAAACAACTCAAAAAACATCTCCAACGTAGCAACAAAGGTACTCAATCCGTCACCGAGTACATGAGAGGAATCCTAAATCTGATCACCTTGCTCTCCTTGGATCTCCTCTTCCACATGAGGATGTGCTTGACACAATCACCAATGGTATTGGTGATGACTTCTGCGCCGTTGTCGAGATGGTTAACGGCCGTGATACTCTAATTTCTCATCGAAAAACTTTATGAACAATTGCTTAATCATGAAAACGATATTGTTGCCACCGAAAACATCTTAGGCTCCTCTATTCCGGTCACAGCCCACAACACTCAAAATCGATCTCAGCGTGGTGAATATCGTGGGAATCAGGCGTTT